GTTGTGTTTTTATTACTTTATTTATTTTGTTCACATACTGTTTGTTTTGAATTGCACCCCCTCCCTAATGATTGTAAGCCGCCCTGAGTCCCCTCAGGGAAAAGGGCGGCCTATAAATCCAAATAAAATACCTTAAAAAAAAATTATGCTGGTTTCAGTGTCCTGGGGTGACCTTTTGACAAAAAATAAAATTTTTAATCAAGCCCCCCCCCTACCCCGGTCAATGGTGTCCCTCTTTACCAATCTGAAAATCTGGTCACCTTAATCTTAACGCTTTTCCTACTCAATCTTTCAAACTTTAAACTGCTGTCAGTAGGAATAATTGTTCAAATCACTTTCCAGCCAATGCAAATTCTTCCTTCATTGGGATCACCTTGATTTTGTCATTATACAGGAGATCCCACAGAAGCAATGTCTTCTCTTTATTTATTTAAGAGACCAATCTGGACACCCATCTTACATACCACAACTGTAGGTGGCTCAGTGCATAATAATAAAATACAAAGATAAATAAAATGAAAGTAACCCAAATGGTACATTATAAGGTGCTCACAAAGCAATCTTTTTCACATGATCTTATGGATTACAATCTCAACCTAGCCAAATTTATTGGGGGAAGAAACAGCTGTTTATAGTGATTTGATCACTGAGGAAGGGGATGGATTGAGGATGGTGGATCTCATGGAAAAGTGTCAGATCAGAGACAACTATGGGAAAGGTGTCCTAACTGATTCTCATTGAATGAGACCATCTAACTGAGAGGAGACACTGGCAGCCACCTTATCTTGGTGGGATGGGCAATAGTTCTCACAGAGAGCATCATACAACTTTGTTGGAGTTTGGTTCCCAGAGTATCCATCTTTCCTTTTTTTCCTACTCACTCCATCACAAACATACATTTTTAGCCACTATCAGTAGGAATAATTGCTCAAACAATTATTTAAAAGGAGTCACATTCCTTGGCAGCTTCAGAAAAGCAAATTCCCCTGGAAGACTTTCATGGAGTTTTCTTTAGCAAAATTTATTGAGATGAAAGGGAAGAGAGTTACAACAATTATAGTCATTCTACAATTTCCCATTTCAAAACATCTACATATGATTTTCTTTCACTCTTGTATACTATCTAATTGGAAATAACTGATGTCGCCTTTCAAATAAAAGGACATTTTTGACATGTTTAAATATTTTAGTGGTTTTAAAGCTCATGTTTTTACATTTATTCTGGCTGTGAGATGCTCCTTTGTGTTCAGGTCTGGCCTCAGGAGGATAATGTAGCATTTGGGGATGAAGATGCAGCCCAGCAGACTAGCACTGGAGGCCAGGATGGAGAAGACCTGAACAGCCACCATGTACTTCCCTTTGGTGCTCAGGTAGGTGGGCACAAAAGTCACCCAGACGCTGCAGAAGACCAGCATGCTGAAGGTGATCAGCTTGGCTTCGTTGAAGGCCCCAGGCAGATTCCTGGCCAAGAAAGCCACCGTGAAGCAGATGGCAGCCAGGAAGCCCATGTAGCTGAGGGTGAGGTAGAACATGACAACGGCCCCTTCGTTGCATTGCAGGATGATCTCTCCAGGCTGGGAGTGGAGGTCAGAGTCAGGGAATGGGGGAGAAACTCCCAGCCAGATGGAACAGATGATAATTTGGACAGCAGAACAAGACAGGATGATGGAGTTGGCCAAGCTCTTCCCCAACCATCTCTTCACTCGGTTTCCTGGTTTTGTGGCCAGGAAAGCCAGCACCACCGTGATGGTTTTGGCCAAGAGAGAAGAAATGGCAACTGAGAAGAGGATGCTGAAAACCATCTGTCGTAGAAGGCAGGTGGCTTTCCTTGGCTGACCAATGAAGAGAGAAGGAGACAAGAAGCAAAGCAGGAGGGAGACCAGGAGGATGTAGGAGAGGTCCCGGTTGTTGGCTTTGACAAGGGGAGTTTCTCTGTATTTTATGAAGATGATTGAAACAAGGCCTGTATTTAGGAAGAAGAGTAGGTCAAAAGAGACCAGGATGATGCTCAGATGTTCTTCATAAGACAGGAAGGCTATAACTTTGGGGATGCATTGGACTCGGTCTTCATTTGGATATTTGTCATCTGGACAATTTGTGCATTTTTCTGTATCTGAAAAAAATCAAAAAACAATATGTCTTTAATATTCTGTCTTTTTCATTTCAAGAAATAACTTTTTTGGGACAATAGCTGTTAGGAGGGACATTTTCCAAGATGTATTGTTTAAAAAATCCATGCAAAAAATTGTAAATAGTATTTTCTAAAAAACTATATAGCTAAGGTTCATGAAATTGGGAAAATCCTAGCATCTAGGACCTAAAGTCTTAGGACCTAAAGAACTTCATGGCTTCTTGATGACTTAAAAGAGTCATCTTTGAATTTTTCAAAGGTCTTGGGGAGAAATGGAGGTCCTTTTGCACAGAAGGTCACTTTATTTTAGTAGATTTAGATTAAGATTAACAGAGTTGGAAGAGACCTTGTATGTCCAACCCCCCCCCCCAAAAAAAAACAGGACCCTATATTAATTCTGATAGTACAGAGTCTTCTTGAAAGCCTCCAGTGATGAAGCTCCCACAATTTCTGTTTCTGAATTTCTGAACTGTTCTCACAGTTTCCATCCATTATTCCTTGTCTGGCCTTCAGGTGCTTTGGAAAATAGTTTGACCCCCTCCTCTCTGTGGCAGTGCCTCAAATATTGGAACACTGCTAGAATGTCTCCCCTTGTCCTTCTCTTCACTAGACTAGCCATGCCCAGTTCCTGCAATTGTTCATTGTATATTTTAGGATTCAATCCCCTAATCATCTTGGTTGCTGTTCTCTGCCCTCTTTCTAGAGTCTCAACATCTTTTTAGTGTGGTGACCAAAACTGGATGCAGTATTCTAACAGATTTACAGAGTTCAAAGGGACCTTATAAGTCATCTAGTCCAACACCCAGCTCAAGCAGGAGACCCTACACCATTTCTGACAAATGGCAGTCCAATCTCTTCTTGAAAGTCTCAAGTGATGAAGCTCCCACAACTTCCGAGGGCGAGCTGTTCCATTGGTTGATTGTTCTCAGTATCAGAAAGTTCCTCCTTATTTCTAAGTTGAATCTCTCCTTGGTCAGTTTCCATCCATTATTCCTTGTCTGGCCTTCATGTGCTTTGGAAAATAGTTTGACCCCCTCCTCTCTGTGGCAGCACCTCAAATATTGGAAGACTGCTCTCATGTCTCCCCTGGTCCTTCTCTTCACTAAACTAGCCATGCCCAGTTCCTGCAACTGTTGTTTTAGTGTCCAGTCCCTTAATCATCTTGGTTGCTCTTCTCTGCACTTTTTCTAGAGTCTCAACACCTTTTTTTTATAGCATGGTGACCAAAACTGGATGCAGTACTCTCGGTGTGGTCCAGTGGTGGGTTTCCAATTTTTTTTTACTACCAGTTCACTTGTAATCATGCGCAGAAGCATCCAGGGGAGAGGGGAGAGTCTCCCACAGCCGCTACTACTGGTTCACTGGATCCAGGCAGAACCGGGAGCAACCCACCTATGGTGTGGTCTTACTAGGGCTTTACAGAGTGGTATTAGTACTTCTTTTGATCTTGATTATATACCTCTGTTAATGCAATTTAAGATTGCATTGGCTTTTTTGGCTGACGCTGGACACTCTTGACTTCTATTTAATTTGTTGTCCACTAAGACTCCAGGATCCCTCTCACAGTTACTGCTATTAAGCCTGGTTTCACCCAGTCTATATGTATACTTTTATTTTTTCTTGCCTAAGTGTAGGATTTTGCTTTTCTCTACATTGAATTTCATTTTTTTTAGATAGGCCCAGCGTTCAAGTCTGTTAATATCCATCTGGATCTTGAGCCTATCATCTGGGGTGTTGGGTATTAGATACTAGATGTTCAGCTTTACCTTTGTGTTTGTATTTCAATATGTCTGTTCGGTGGAACGAGAACTTTTCTGAATTGCACACTCTTTTGCCCTATTTTGAGTTAACTCTTTTTACACATCTGTAAATATTTATTTATTAGGAATTTCATTCCCATTCTAGAAAGCTGCTACATAGACTTGGACTTCATAGTCTAAGAATCAGCAGATGAAGCAATTTGATTCCATACTTTCTAGATCAGGGGTATCAAACACAATTTCATTGAGAGCCGCATCAGGGTTGTGTTTGACCTCAGGGGCTGGGGTGGGTGTGGCCAGCTGGGCATGGCCAGATTAACATCACTCCTGTTAGGGTTGCGGGCAGTAACCCAAGTGCTTTGCCAGCAAAAATGGGCTCTTGAGCTCTGTTTTCCCTGGCAGAGGGTTGCAGGAGGCCGAGGCAGCAAAAAATGGAGCTCGGGAGCCTATTTTCACTGGGAGAAGCATCATGAACTGGTCTTTCATTCAATCTGCCCCCTGGACCTTGAGTTTGACAACCCTGGTCTAGATTTATCCATAAGTTCAAGAAGTGAATTTGTTATATGTAAATCAGTATCGTACAGATTGTTATTTTTTTAATTTTCCATTTCCCATGCTTTTTGTTAGTTCTGTTTCAACTGAATCACAACTGTGTATTAGGGGATTCCCCCCTTTTTTTTGAACCATGAGTTTCCTTTAGGTTGGGGGTGTAGTTGTTCATATTTCACTATTTAACAACAGCAAAAAAGCTCAGAAAGCCCCAAACCCCTCCCTTCAAGAACCTTCAAGATCTTTCTGCTTACAGTGACTTAATAGAAATTGGTTGTGTGATACAACTTTTTATGCATCAATTTTGGGGAATGACATAATGTAAATCTGCTTCAGATGAGAAATAGCAATGACCTCTAGGCTGGAATACTGCAATGTGCTCTACATGGGGCTGCCCTTGANGCAATCGCAGAAGAAGGTGGGGGAGGGCTGCACTGCAAAGAGGCCCTGATCGAGTAGAGCCAGGAGGGTGGGGGGATGGTTGCAAAGACACCAGGTAAAATCCGCCGCCCCCTTCAGTCCAAGGCCGCCATCCAGCGTCGCGTGAATCGGCCACCCCACTCCCTAATGCTGATAATAAACTGGTGCAAATCCGCAGGCTCCTTCCAGTCTCGTAAAAATAAATAAGAAGCCGGAACAAGACCGGCAGGGACGCCACAGGGCATTGAGGTGATGCGGGAGGGGGGGTGTCTGGGGGGGCGTAACGGCGACAACGAAGCCTGCCAATCGATCCCCTTTGGCGCCATCCGGACCAGCTACCCCCTCCCTGGCACGATAGTCTCCTGTTCAGTCCAGTCCAGAGTGACTCTGCTGGGTCTCCCGACCAGGAAATAGAATTAGAAATAGAATTGCAAGGCGCCGGCCTAGTTAACACTGCCGGGAGCGGTGTCGCCAGCATGAAGCCACCATCTTCGCTGCTCGGTCGAAGAAACCAGCGAAAACACGGCGTAGGCTGGGAGCCAGCCGAGAACGGCGACTCCCCAGCTGATCGCCTGCCCAAGTCCCCTGGGTCATACGCTACCATTAGGGCTCCTTTCTGGAAGACTCGTAGCTGAAACCGGTGATGTTTTCACCATTCCTTCTGCGTGCCTCGTCGGAGCAAAAAGCAACCGACCATTCCGCAGCTCGCACATGCGCAAAAATGGACTCCACCAGTGAAGTCTGAATAACATTTAGAGCCATGGTGGTGCAATGGTTAGAATGCATGACTGCAGGCTACTTCTGCTGATCACCAGCTGCCAGCAGTTCAGCCAATAGTGGGTTCCTACTGGTTCAGATGTGGTTTGGCGGCCTGGGACACTGGAACCGGCAGCGACCCAGGCCTGCCATGCCCCTGAAATGATTTTCTGGGTGGCACCATTTTGTTATTTCCTTCTGCATATGCGCAGAGCAAGTGCACATGCGCACCCGCAGCACACCCACAAATGTAGCGACTGTCGGAACCAGCCCTGAGTTCGGTATTTTGATTCTGACAGCTCAAGCTTGACTCAGCCTTCCATCCTTCCGAGGTCAGTAAAAAGGGGACCCAGATAGTTGGGGGCAAAATGCTGACTCTGTAAACCACTTAGTGAGGGCTGTAAAGCACCGTGAAGAGGTATATAAGTCTAAGTGCTATTGCTATTTAGTTAAAAAATGAGTAAAAACACCACAAAAAAATTTACAATTCATTTTAACCTACACAATCACGTTTTACCATGTTTACAACAAGAGTAAGTTGAATCACAAAAAAAAATGTAAAAAATCCCCTACCACTGTGAACACTATGTGCGAAGATAATTTTTCCCCTCTTGATCCTTGTATCTTGTAGAACAACAGTTAAGAGATCATGGGCAGTATATTTCAGGATTAATATGGACTCATGAGTGGGAGATGGAAGAACATTATACACAATATTCTAAAAGGGGAAAGGTTTTGATTTAAGTAAAGCTAACTAGACATTACAAGTTGTGCTTGTAGATTAAAGCTACCCAAACCTCTCTGGTAACATTTCATTTATATCGAAGTTATAATAAGGTCAAAGCCTTTTCACATTTGAATCGTTCTTCTACAAAGATCTGACTTGCGAGTATTCTTAGTTGGGAGGCAAGAATTGCTGCTATCTTCAAAAATGAATAACAAAGTGTTAGATACTTGCTTCAGCTATAGTGGTTTCCACCAAGGTCCTCTGTTCTGACGGGAACAGAGGTTTAATCTCATTGGCCGAAGGGTCTGACAGCTCCCTATAAAAGGGCTGCTGTCAGACTCAACCTTCGCTGGATTGTTCTTTCTTGTTGTACTTTAATAAAGAGCTGTTGTNTAAAATCAAATCAAAATCAAATCAATGGACGGAAAATAATTCCTAAACTTTCAAAGAACTGAGATGTTCCTAGAAAGGTAAACATTGAAGGATACATTCAAGCTAAAAAGTGGAAGAATTCTTTCCCTGGCAATGGTAAAGCTTTCACAAGGTACCTTACCCTCCTATCTCTTCCCAGCCTCTCCTTCAAGATCTTTTGGTTATTCTTCCCTTTAGATTAGAAATTGTGTAGGTTGAAAATAAACAACAAAACAGTTGAGCTTCAAAGCCTTTTAACATGTACTTTCCTCAGACTGCTCTGGATAAATCCATTTTCACAAAATCTTCCATATTCTTCACCCACCTTCCTGAGGGGAGAAGGTCCCTTCCGGACAAGGAACACAATTGTAGCAACAAACTGGCTCTCCTTCTCGAGCTCTCTTGACAAAGCCAGGATGGCAACTTTTCACACAATGGGACTGAGGCAGGGACTGAGCAGAAAAACAAGGAATGCCAAAGAATGTTACAATTAACTGTCCATGGAAAATGGAGGTAGAAATGGACCTTAGCCAAGTAGATTCTGGGCTTTACTTAGATAAATATGAAATCTCTGAATAACTCCAAATTGTATTAGGACTTGTGTTGTAAGTAGTTAGTCTAAATTAGTCTAAAGTTAGTCTTAAACTAGCCTAAATCTGACTAGCTCCAAATTGTGTTCTATATTGTGTTTAGAATAAATTTATTCTAAATTTAATCCTTCCTTTTAACCACCCTGTAATCCTTTAATTCGGGGTGAAGACAAGGCAACTGGATGGAGCTGACCGTTTACTGGCCGGATGGCTTCCTGAGGCAACATGGAGTTTGGAGCAGCTATTTGTTCTTTGCGCCTTGGAGAGAACCAGCTGCTCCTCCCCTCACCCCAAGATTGAATTCTCAGCCTTCTGAGGGGGAAGCAAGCGCCTTCAGCAAAAGGCCATCAAGAGGCTCTTTATTCTAAAGATTTATATGAGTAGACAATCATACTGTGAAATAACAGTATATGAAGAATGGAGGAATGCATGTCAATAACATTTATTCTAAACTTGTAAATTAAATTCTTACTGTATCAGATTTATTAAAATAGAAGTAAACTGATGAAAGAAAGAAACTTTTAACCAATAGGATCTGCAAAGATTTCTTCTTGTGTACATAAAACATTGAAAACATTTGAAAGTAGTCCAAAACAATCTCCCAATTAGCACACGAAGGAGAAATACCTTTCAAATTAGGACTGTTATCTTTAAAGGAGATCTTGTTTGCTTGTTTGTCTATTTACTTGTTCAGTTCCACTGTGCTGTTAAAATAAGAATAAAATGGTTCTTTTGTTTCTAGAATTGTAGTGAGATGAGATCATGAAAGTGAAGTCATGAAGATCAGAGGTGGGTTGCTCCCGGTTTGGCCTGGATCAGACAAACCGATAGTAATAGTGGTGGGAGGCTTCACCACTCATCTGGATGAGGATGTGCATGTGCAGAAGCGTCACACATGCCTGTGCCCGAACATGTAGTAAAAAAATTGGCAACCCACCACTGATGAGGATGAGTACCTCAAGGGGTAGGTGAGGCATCTTTTGCTGCAAATAATGGGACATGAGTGTGAGCCCTGTGCCAGAGACAGATCTTTCTAAAGTGCATCTGTTTATTCAAGGCAAGGTCCTCTCTGTTGAAGAACTAGAATTAGGTAACGCCAACTGGCCTGGATAGGCAGACCCACATTTATTGCTAGTTAAATGTGGAACTTCCTTTTCTCCCCATAGAAACTGAAGGTAGATGACACACAAGATAAACCATGGCACTGAAGGGGTTTTCAGATGAGGAGCTCTCTTCATAGCAAAAGACTAAATCTAAGTAGCATTTCTTTCAATTTGTCCCTCATTAAATTTGATATCAGGAAGGAATCTCTGGATCAAAGGAATTTTCATACTTCAGTTTTCTCAGACATTATACAAACAACACACTATTGTCACTCTAGACAGGGAGACAGGCGGCATGTGAATTTGGAGAAGCTGAATTCTAATTCCAGAGCTAATTTTCCCTGGGGACTCATAGGATCTCAAACTCCACGGGACCTTGAACAAACTCCATTGCATCCAGTCCAAACCTGAACTCAGGCACCGATCAACAGATTTTGTTATGTATTGTATATAGTTGTCAGTTGAAGTTCTCAGTCTGGTCCTCTGGTGGAGCGGGAGAATACTCTCTCCTGATTGGTTATTTGGCTCAGCAGTTTCCTATAAAAGGAGCTGTGTCAACCAGTTGCCTCAGAGCCAGTAAATAAAGAGCTGTTAGAAGTCACTCAGGCCTTGCCTCCATTCACCGCCCAGAACTTAACAGATTTGCCTTCTTCTTCCCTTCTATCTGAGGACAAGGAACAAGTGAACTGGAGACTATCCGTACCATAAACCCCAGCCCTTGATGGCCTCTCTCACCAGGTTTCTGGAGATAATAAACACTGAGGAGACACAAAAGGACCCTCATCTATGTCCTAAAGAATTATCACCCTGGATTCTAGGTTGTCTGGATCAGCTTAGAACATTCCATATTATAGCATCAGAAGTTAGCATTTTTCATTAATACTGAAGCCCCTCAAGCAGTCTAAGAAAACTATTGTTCCCCACATTCAATTCTCAGTGAAGGTCCTCTACCACAGTGAATAGGCTGAGCACAATGGAAATGATTCCTATAAGGCTTTTGGAAACAGAGAAAACACGCCAATATTTCACCCACCTTGTTGAGCAACTTTTGCCGTGAAAGATCATCTTGGCTGATAAAAAGTCTTCCTCTTTCAAAGCTCCCTGTGTACCAATAGTTGTGACCCAAGTTGGGGAGAACCTTCCAGGTCCTGATGACCAGATCTGCTGCTACATCTCCATTTTGGTCCAAGTAAAGATTCTTCATAGAAAGATTGAAAAACTCATTCTTTGCTAGAAAGCGGTGAAACTAAAATGGAAACTCCAGGAATGTTAAAAGCCAAAATTTTGGTTTCTTCTCGCATGTGGTCTTAAACCAATAAGGCAATTCAGCAACCAGTAGTTAGGCATCAACTCAGGAAACATTCTCAGGGTAATTCTACTGGGAAAATCTGGTGAATATCCTGACATTGAAGGAATCAGATTCATGGGAAATCCTACATGCCATCAGCGTTTATTGAAACTTGACTTAAAAATGTTTCAACATCCTTTTTTCTAACCCCTTTGCCCTGGGGGAGCCATCTTTCATTTCATTTCATTTTATTGGTCTTGTATGCCGCCCACTCCCGAAGGACTCCGGGCGGCTTACAATAAACAAAGGAAGGGGATACATAGACAACTAGACAAACAACAATTTAAAGTACACAACATTCATAGTTCTCATGGGGCTGACTGTTTCAACAGGCCCCCAGCCTGCCACAGCAGCCAAGTCTTCGTGGCTTTGCGGAAGGCCGGGAGAGTAGTAAGTGTCCGGATCTGCAAGGGGAGCTCGTTCCAGAGGGCTGGAGCTGCAACAGAGAAGGCTCCCCCCCGGGGAGTCACCAGCCGATATTGGCTGGCAGATAGGATCCGGAGGAGGCCTAGTCTGTGCGATCTAATCG